AGCCCAGCAGGTCGAGGCTGCGGTGGCTGGGAGCGGCCACTGCACTCCAGGCTGGGCAACTGAGTGAGACTCCAACTCAAAAAAAATAAAAAATAAGAATGTGTATCTGACCAGGTTGTTTGTACTCTTCGAGCCCTCTTGGGTTCCTGGAGCCCACACAAGCTCCTTGCTGGACACTCACCCCTTTCCGGCCCTGCCTCCGCAGCTTGCTCTCCATCATCCCTGCCTCCGTCTCACGTTCCACCAACGCCAGGTCCCTATGCTCGCTGGGCTGCAGCTCATCTCTGGCTTTGCTTGGAAACGTCTCCCTGTCCAGCCTCCTTTGGCGTGGCTAACTCCTGCCGTTCTGTTGAGCCAGCTCAGATGTCTCCCATCTGGGGGGTTCTCCCTGTCGTCCCCACCACCCCAAGGTGGCCAGGACCCACCCCAGTGCCCCCATAGCACCCTTTGTGGACTCCATCAAGGTGGTGACCACCCTGACACCGACTCAGTTTGCATGTGTCTTGCTTCTCAGCCCCTCCCCAGGCTGTGAGCTCCAGAGGCAGGGACTGTGACTCTTTTTTCCTTTTTTTTTTGTCAGAGTCTTACTTTGTCACCCAGGCTAGAGTGCAGTGGCATGCTCATGGCCACCACAGCCTAGACCTGCTGGGCTCAGGCGATCCTTCCACCTCAGCCTTCCAAGTGACTGGAACCATAGGCATGTGCCACCAGCTAATTTTTTTGATTCATTGTAGAGACAAGGTCTCGCCATGTTGCCCAGGCTGGTCTCGAACCCCCGGACTCAGGCAATCCTCTCACCTCGGCCTTCCAAAGTGCTGGGACTACAGATGTGAACCACTACTCCCGGCTTCTCTTTTTTCTTTTTCAGCACATACTAGACGCTTGGTAAAAATTGGGTGGGTGCTGGGCCTGTAATCCCAGCACTTTGGGAAGCTGAGGCAAGAGGATTACCTGAGCCTATAAGTTTGAGACCAGGCCGGGCAACATGGTAAGACCTCGCCTCTACGGTAAAATTAAAAACTTAGCCAGGCATGGTAGCGCATGCCTGTAGTTCTAGCTGCTTGGAAGGCTGAGGCAGAAGGATCACTAGATCCTGGCAGGTCGATGCTGGCATGGCCATGAGCATGCCACTGCACTCCAGCCTGGGCAACAGAGTGAGACTCCAACTAAAGGAAAAAAAGAAAGAAATTGGGTGGGTAGATGGATGGACGGACAGATCGATGGGTAAAGTGACCAACAGTCTGTATGCTGCAGGAGACAGAACTCTAGACCAGAAATTGGGAAACTGGCTACCAACTAACTGTGTGATATTGGCCAAGTCACCTCCCCTCTCTGGGTCCAATTCCCATTCATAATGTCTCTCCTGGTTCCAACAGACAGAAATTCTTGGAGATTCCTGGCTGGACACTGTGAATGGAGTACACTCTCCCGCCCTCAATGCGATGGGCCAGGTCGAGTGTGGACATTCTGACAGGGTCCCTCTTCCCAAGGAGAAATCCAGCCCCAGCCCATCTTCAGCCCCAAGTGGTGCAGTGACACCTTCCTCTGGGGCTTCCCTCTGTGTGGCTGCAGGTGGCAGGTGCCCTGGCTGAGGCAGGTGTGGGGCTGGAGGAGATCACGCAGCGGGTGAGCGCTGTCGCTAAGGCCATGGGTGAGTGTGCTGGTCGGGGAGAGAGGAGGGTTAGAGGGAAGGCACACCTGGGGCTAGGAGCAGGTCCCTGTCAGGAGCTGAGAGAAGGTCGCCCTGGGTGAGCTCCTGGGGAAGGGGGTCTGTTTCTTGTCTGTAAATTGGAGGTAGTAATAATCATACCTGCCTTTTAGGGTATCTGTCTCCCATCACTAAGGTAAAGAGTCCGACAGCCCTTCTCAGAGGGGAGGATGCCCGAGGGCAGGGCTTCCACAGTGCCTGGCACCCAGAGCAGGGCAGTTATACCTCGTTTCTCATAGGTACCCTGGGGGTGAGCTTATCCTCCTGCAGCGTCCCTGGTTCCAGACCCACCTTCGAGCTCTCACCTGATGAAGTGGAGATGGGCCTGGGTGAGCGTGTGGCCACTGTCCCAGCCATGCCTGCCCCTTTGCCTTGGGCCTTGCCCACCTCCTCTGTCCCAGGAGCCATCTCTCTGGTCCCTTCCTCCCACATGGAGCTCTCCCCAGGTGTCTTAGTATTTTTCCCTGGGCACATGAAGCCCAGCTGGGCCCAGCCTGGCCGATTTCTTCTTGCTTTGCCATTCACACCCCCAGCTCCGGCCACATGGGGCTGCATGGGCCACCTGCCTCCTTGCCTGGCCCACCATTCCCAGATCCTCCTGCCCCTGCCAAAGTGTGCCCTTCTTTCAGGGCTGTTCAGAGACGTCTGTGCTTCCAAAGTGATGGGCACTGGCCTCCTGTGGCTCCACCATGACTGCCTTGGGTTAAAGCTCCCTACCGCCAAGTCACAGGAGAGCAGCACATGTTTTATTATTTTGTCCATTTCTACCCCCCCAACATACACACGCACACAGTGCCGAGCACTAAGTCCCTGATAAAACCTTGAGTAGCGGCTCCCAGGTCCTGAGCAACTCAGCAGTGTCCACATCTATCCACAGGAATCCATGGGGAAGCTGGCGTGCGCCGGATCAAGGTAGGTGGACCCCTGGCCCAGGCCAACCCGAAGCCAAGGTGCCACATGCCTGCCGCTCACCCCCAGCTCCCTCTGACAGATGGCGGCCACTGATGAGATCGTGAGGCTAATGCTCGACCACATGACGGATGCCTCCAATGCATCCCATGTGCCTGTGCGCCCCGGTGGGTGGCCTGTGGCCCAGCTCCCAACCCTTCCCACCCCTCTAGGCAGGAAGTGCCCAAAGGGTCTCACTGGGGCACCATGTCTCCTGCAGGCTCCTCGGTGGTGCTGATGGTCAACAATCTGGGAGGCCTGTCATTCCTGGAACTGGGCGTCCTAGCCGATGCTGCCATCCGCTCCTTGGGTGAGGGGATGGGACCTTCCAGCCCCCAAAGCTGGACATAAGAAACGCCGCTGGGGAGGGTCTCGTGATGGCCCAGAGCACGGACTGTGGTCAGACAAGCCTAAGTTATAGCATTCCTCTTACGCTTCATTGCTGGGTACCTCAAGCCTCTGCATCTCATCCGTAAAGTGGGGGTAATGATAATAGTACTTGGCTGGGTGCAGCAGCTCATGCCTGTAATTCTAGCACTTTGGGAGGCCAGAGCAGGAGGATTGCTTGAGCCCAGGAATTCAAGACCAGCCTGGGCAACATAGCGAGACTTTGTCTCTATTAAAAAAAAAAAGCCAGACTCGGTGGCTCAGCCTGTCATCCCGCGCCTTTGGGAAGCTGAGGTGAGTGGATTGCCTGGGCCCGCGGGTTCGAGACCCGCCTGGGCAGCGAGACCTCATCTCTACAATAAATCAAAAAATCAACCGGGCGTGGTAGCGCATGCCTGTAATTCCGGCTACTTGGAAGGCTGAGGTGGAAGGATCGCCGGAGTCCAGCAGGTCGAGGTTGCGGCGGCCGGGAGCGGCCACTGCACTCCAGTCTGGGCGACAGAGTGAGACTCCAACTCAAAAAATAAAAAAAAGCCAGGCTCGGTTTTGCCTGAGCCCACGGGTTCGAGACTCACCCAGGCAACTTGGTGAGACCTCGTCTCTGCAAAAATCAAAAATTAGCCAGGTATGGTAGCACACAACTGTAGTTCCGGCTACTTGGAAGGCTGAGGCAGAAGGATCGCCGGAGCCCAGCAGGTCGAGGCTGTGGTGGCTGGGAGCATGCCACTGCCTTCCAGCCTGGGTGACAGAGTGAGACTCCGACTCAAAAAAAAGCCTTTTAGGGTTTTGAGGATTGGATGAAATTAAACATGTATGAGACATCTAATAGTGCCTGGCACTGGTAAGAACTCAGCATTAATCATCTGCCCCCAAGAGGGGGCATCTCCAGGGAATGTGGCAATTTGGGGTGTCACTGAGGGATCTCCCTCTAGACCCTAGGGCCCCAGCATCCGGGGTCCTCACTTTTCTTTTCTCTCCTTCCCTGATGCCCCTTATTCCCTCCTGGACTTCCATGCCCTGGTATTGCAGAGGCCCGCGGAGTGAACATTGCCCGTGCTCTAGTGGGCACCTTCATGTCAGCACTGGAGATGGCTGGCGTCTCTCTTACTCTCCTGCTGGTGGATGATCCCCTCCTGAAGCTCATAGGTGAGACTTGGAAGCTGGGATCTCCCGTACAGGGCTCCTTGTAGCTGGAAGGAGCCAGGAAAAACTGCAGAGATTCCATCAGGGCTGGCCATGACACAGCTCTGGGCCCTGTGAAGAGGTCCTAGCTGGCTTCCAGCCTCCCCAGCTTTCACTGCACTGTGGAGGAGATCGGCCTGACCTTTCTTCTGGGACCCTCCCCCATCCTGCTGTACACAGTAGGTACTCAGTACATGCTCGTTGAAGTGGCCTGCCTTCTTCCAAGGCTGCTAAGAGAGCCAGGTGGCTGACCTAAGGCCCACTTGATCCCAGTCTGGCTAGCTGTGTCTTAAGAGAGTTCTCTTGCTGTCCCTAGATGCTGAAACCACCGCAGCAGCCTGGCCTAATGTGGCCAGGGTCTCTGTGACGGGGCAGAAACGGAGCCGGGCAGCCCCTGTTGAGCCCCAGGAGGCCCCCGATTCCAGTGCCCCAGGAGGTACCAAGCCCGAAGGATGCATGGGTGTGCAGCGGGGCATGCAGTCAGGCTTGCTGTGGGCAGGGCCGGGCTGGCCTCTTCTCCACCGTCCTCCCTTTCTAGGCTCCACCTCGAAGCGGACAGCACTTGTCCTGGAGCGGGTATGCGCCACCCTCCTGGGCCTGGAGAAGCATCTGAATGCCCTGGACCGGGCTGCTGGTGATGGCGACTGCGGCACCACCCACAGCCGCGCGGCCAGAGGTCAGTACCAGGATGCTAGGGGCTGGAGGGGGGCTGGGATGGCACACTGGTTCTTAGATTCCAGCATTTCACCAGACAGAAGTTCCCAAAGCACAGGCGGGCTGACGTGGGCTGCAGCTTTTCCTTTGCCAGTGAGGTCATGCTTTGGCACCCCTTCCATCTGCTTCACTGAAGAAAAGGACCCTCCTCACGCTGCAAGCATAGGAGGTGGTTATTTCAGAGTCCCCCTAAGTCCTTGACAGCGAGTGGCTTTCAGCTCAAGGAAAACTCCTCTTTTGTCCGTACTTGTCTCATCTTAGCCACACCAGGGAAGCCTCTTAAGTGACCCCTTTCATTCAAGAGAAAGGGGCTTAGGGCCCCCGTCGGCCAGGCTCTGCCCTCAACTCCAAATCTGGTGGAGAACGGAGCTGACAAGAGTCCCACCCTCGTGTCTTCTGTTCTGTGAGAGACAACAGCAGACAGCATAAATGAATCAGACGGACAGGACGGGACAGTTAGTGCAGAGGGCCAGGGGAACCCAACAGGGCAGGGAGGGGCACAAGATGTCGGGTGGAGGGTGCTGGGAGCAGGCCCCCTGCCTGGTGACCCTCAGGTCCCTCTCAGGCGCGATTGCCCAGCCCCTCTCCGCCAGCACGCATGGTTCCAGAAGCCTGCCTTCTGTTCCCTCCCAGCCACCTCCAGGCCTTGGGATTGGGCTGGGGTGGGCAGATGGGGGGGACATTCCTAAATGCTCCCCACATCTCTCTGTGCAGCCATCCAGGCGTGGCTGAAGGAGGGCCCACCCCCCGCCAGCCCCACCCAGCTGCTCTCCAAGCTGTCCGTCCTGCTCCTGGAGAAGATGGGGGGCTCATCTGGGGCGGTGGGTGCTGGCAGTTCCCCGGGGCCGAAGGGCTGGCAGGGAGGGACATGCTTGCCTGGGGTCCCGTGCTCAGCGTCCTCATCCTCCCCAGCTCTACGGCCTGTTCCTAACGGCGGCCGCCCAGCCCCTCAAGGCCACGACTGACCTGCCAGCCTGGTCTGCTGCCATGGACGCCGGCCTGGAGGCCATGCAGAAGTGAGCTGGATCCCTGCCTTAGGCCAGGGTGGCTGGGGGCAGGGGTCAGGGTCATCTGCTGCCCCTCAGGCCCCGGCCCTGGCCCCAAAGTGATTGGTTCCCCGCACTGAGCCTTGTTCATCTCTTTCCCGGCCAGGTATGGAAAGGCTGCCCCAGGGGACAGAACCATGGTGTGTACTCACAGCCCCAGCCTTTCTGAGCCTCTGGGCCCTTGAGGCCACCCTCAGTGGCAGGGCCTTTCCTCAGCTTCCCTCTCTCCCTTGTCCAGCTGGACTCTCTGTGGGCAGCAGGACAGGAGCTCCACGCCTGGAAGAGGCCAGGGGCTGACTTCTTCCAGGTCCTGAGCAAAGCCGTCAAGGTGAGCACTCTGGGCCCGGCCACCTGGGAAACAAGCTTGAGCCCCGGGCTTGGTGGCTCAGCCTGTAATCCCATACTTTGGGAGGTGAGGTGAGTGGATTGCCTGAGCCCGCGGGTTCGAGACCCGCCTGGGCAACTTGGCGAGACCTCATCTCTACAATAAATAAAAAAATCAGCCAGGCGTGGTAGCACATGCCTGTAATTCTGGCTACTCGGAAGGTTGAGGTGGAAGGATCGCCGGAGCCCAGCAGGTCGAGGCTGCAGTGGTTGGGAGCAGCCACTGCACTCCAGTCTGGGTGACAGAGTGAGACTCCAACTGGGAAAAAAAAAAAAACAAGCTTGAGCCACAGGCTTTCACCTCCATTAGCTTGACCTCGGCCAAGTTAATGGCCTTCCAAACCTCAGTTTCCTTCTCCATAAGATGGAGATGAGCACCTGTCTCAGAAGATGGTTGTATGGCTAAGGAAACAGGTGGAGCCTAGTGCAGTGCCTGGGACCCAGCAGGGCCTCAGCCAGTGGCGGCCCCTTTCCCTGCTGGAGTAGATGAGAGGCGGCCTTCCCCCTCGGTGACAGTGCAGAGGGTGCTGGCAGAGCGGGGGACAAGAGGCACTCTGCGCATGGCGGGGAGGAGGAGACCCAGTGGCCCACCCTTGAGCCGCTGCCACCCACCCTCAGAGTGCCGAAGCTGCAGCCGAGGCCACAAGGAACATGGAAGCTGGAGCTGGAAGGGCCAGTTACATCAGCTCGGCACAGCTGGACCAACCGGACCCCGGGGCAGTGGCAGCTGCCGCCATCCTCCGTGCCATCCTGGAGGTCTTGGAGAGTCAGGGCGTGTGACAGCCTCCCTTGGCCTCAGCTCCTCTCGCACCGCTGTGCTGAGGTGGCCATTGTCACTTGCAAACGTCGCCTTTCTCTCTCTGGTCCCCATGGCCTGTGCTCCGAGATCAGCAGGAAATCCTCCAGAAGCTTCCAGAACTACTCCACTGCAGAAGCAGCCTCCAGAACCAGCCCGGAGTGGGTCTCATGTTTCTCCAGCACGGAAAGCTGAGTCCCTGGGTCTCCCTGACCTGCCTCAGCCCCTCTGGTCTTCAGAGATAAGGCATTTTCCCTGGGCCGCAGCTCAGCCTTTCACTAGCAATGCCGATTTGGTTTCAAGACTCCCCAGGAAAGGCTGTTTGCACCCAAACGCCCATCAGTGTATAAGAAAGCCAATAAACCACATTCAAGCAATAAAACTGCCTCCTGAGGGACCTTCTCCAAGTATGCGAACAGGTGGCCCACAGATGCCTCAGCTCTGGCTGCAGTGGTCATCACCGCCTGAGACCCAAAGGCAGGGTCTGCCCAGCTGGGCCGGTTCCACTGAGATCTCTACTCCTTCCATGTACGTGCCCCACAGTAGATGCATGTAAGAAGGGTAGAAATTTAGCCAGGTGTGGTAGCTCATGCCTGTCATCCCAGCACTTTGGGAGGCCAAGACAGGAGGAGTTCAAGACCAGCCTGGGCCACATAGCAAAACCCCATCTCTACAAAAAATTTAAATAAAAAAAAAAACCAAAATCAGCCAGGCATGGTGGCACACACCTGTAGTCCCAGGTATTTGAGAGGCTGAGTCTGAAGGAACACCTGAGCCCAGGAGGTCAAGGCTGTGATGAGCTATGATCATGCCACTGCACTCTAGCCTGGGTGACAGTACAACCCCGACTCAAAAAAAAATGTAGTTGAAAGGCTTTTCTTAGCCCTGAATGAGTGATTCCATGATTGCTTGGGAGTCAGTGGGCATTGGAAATACCAGAAAGAAAACTAATCACCGTAGTCTCGGGCTCAGTTGTGGATCAGAAACTGGCCACACCAGCACCTGGGTCTCTTTCTAGAGCCATCCCCGATGGCCCAGGCAAGCAGGAGGGCTGCTGACTCTGGCATGTGGAGATGTGCAGCACCCACCTGCCACGTCCTCAGGGTAAGGAGTGGTGCGAGTCCCCGCTGTGGACGCCACACGATTTAAAATCTGGCTCTGCTGTGACTGCTATGTGAACTCAGGCCTGGCATTTAGCCTCTTGGAGTCTGTCCAGAGTGGCACTCTTCAGCGGGGATGTGAAGGGATTCACATGAACTGAAGATGTTCACGTACCGGGAGTGGGTTGTCACTAGTCACCCGCTCTGCCACCAGCTGTCACACTAGGAAAGTCCTCCCCCCAGGTCACCTACATGGCCCAGATTTAGCTGCGGGCTCCCCTCAACCACTGGGCTTTTCTACCCGGGGCCCTCGTCTGTCAGGGACATCCCTGACTCCCAGGTGAGTGTCAGTGTGCACAGGGCATGTGCCCAGCAGCTGGGAAGGAGACTGGCATCAGATGACAGCTTGTGGATCCCAACGCTGCCATTTCCGGGCTGAACAGCTTCAGGCTAGCCACTTACCCTTTGAGAGTTTTTGTTGTTTTTGAGACCAGGGTCTCGCTCTGTTGCCTAGTCTGGTCTTGAACTCCTGGGCTCAAGCAATCCTCCACTTCAGCCTCCCAAGTAGCTGGATTAGAAGCACACTCTGGCAGTCAGTTCCTCTTTGACTTGTTTTCCAAATTGTCAAGTAGGCACAGCGTCCTTGCTCATGAGATGAGTGAGTACTCAGAAGCCATTAACCCGTAAGGACACCCACAAAGAGTGAATCACACGCAGTTCCATGAAGACAGTCATTGCGGTTGCCCCCCTGGGCCTATGAGGGTCAGCCTGTCCTGAGGCTTTTCCAAGTTGCCCCAAAACCCATGTAGGCAGTGTCACCTCAAGAAAGGCTGCTATTACACATGGAACGTGTGTTCCTCAGAATTCCTCTGCTGAAATTCCCACTTCCAACACAATGGTATTAGGAGATGGGGCCTTTGGGGGGAATTAGGGCTCAAGAGTGAAGCCCGCATGAATGGGATTAGTGCCCTCATAAAAGAGGCCTCAGTTGGGTGTGGTGGCTCACACCTGTAATCCCAGCACTTTGGGAAGCAGAGGTGAGAGGACTGCTTGAAACCAGGGATTCGAGACCAGACTGGGCAACTTGGCGAGATCTTGTCTCTACAATAAATACAATTATTCAGTCGTGATGGTGTATGCCTGTGGTTCCAGCTACTTGGAAGGCTGAGGCAGAAGGATCTCGAGACTGGCCGGTTGAAGCTGCGGTAGCTGTGACTGTGCCACTGCACTCCAGCCTGGGCAACAGAGTGAGACTCCCAACTCAAAAAAAAAAATAATAGAAGAGGCCCCAGTGAGTTCTCGTACTCTTGCACTCTCTGCCATGGGAGGTGGTGGCAGGAAGCTGGTCTGGGGAAGCCGACCTCACCGACCCCAGATCTTTTGGGCCTGGGTCCAGGGCGTCCAGCCTCCAGAACTGCCTGTTGTTTAAGCCACACAATCTATAAATGTTTGTCACAGCAGCCCAACAGACAGCTTTGAGTCTTACAAACATGTTTAATGAAACTCAAGCTTCATAAACCAGTGAAATGCCTGCTCACACGGAGAGGGGAGCCAGCCATGGGACAGGTGCCCGACGGTCATCCCAGCGCTGAAGTCCTCATCCAGTCAGGAAGTCCAGGCTTAGCCCTTCTGCCGAGATCTGGCAATGTGGGGCTGGTGCAGTCAGTGTCAGACCCCAGGCCTCCCACTAGTCTACTGCGCCCAGCAGTGTGGTGCCTGGGACCTGGCGGTGCTTATTTGGAGGAGGCAAGAAAAACCACAGCAGCGACACTTGGAAGCAAGATTCCTCCCTACCCTGCTCCTTGGGGGAGGCCCGAGAGCCCCGCTCTGGCACTGCATGGAGACTGGCATAAGCCGGGCAGACAGCTATGGTGGGGCAGGGAAACACGTGGGCATTCAGCGGGGGACCCCCTGACGGCAGCAGCGGCTCCCGGGATTCTGCTGGGCCCGGCACAGGACTAGGCACCCATGGCTTGGTGAGGGTTTCCAAGAGAGCAAGGCTGGACCCACCCAGGAGATGCAAGGAGGCCCTGATCCGGCAGGGGAAGGAAGGGCAGCCCATGGCCACCTCTGTGCCTCATCACTAAGGGCATCTGCAGACAGGCTGGCTGTCTCAGGAGAGCAGGTTACCAGGGTTCATGGGGCTGCCTGGTAGAGACAGGCATATAAGTGACAGGGATAGGCCAGGATCCAGGCCTCAGCTGGAGCAGCAGCTGGAAGAGGTGGAGCCGCAGTCACGAGACACAGACAGAGACACACACACACGCAGCGACAGCAACAGTGCAGCTTGGCTCCCGGCTTCTCCTCTGGGGAGCCCGAGTGGGCCTCTCCCCTCCCACAGTCATCCCACAGTGCCTCTGCCCAGCCCCACCCAGGTGGGTGGGAGGGGCAGCCAAGCGGACGGAGCTGCTCTGAGGTGGCGGCCTAACCAGGCAGCCATGGTCACCCATCACCACTGCCTTACTCACACCTAACCCTCAGGAGGCCGCAGACACCCATCACCGCTCTCTCACTCAAGGCCTACGCCTGAGTCTCTGCTCTCCTGAGCACCAGAATTTTCTACCACCTCCCTGGAGTCCTAAGGGGAAATCGGTCCAATTTCTTCAGGCAAGCGGGAGCTGCAGGAGGCCAGGGCAAGGAGGATCCCGGGCAAATGGAGTCCCTGAGAAGGCGAGGCCAGGAGCGCAGAAGCCAGAGCCACCAAGGACAGCAGGCAGCAGCAAGCAGCTGGGACAGCAGGCCAGCACCCAGGCCAGAAGTTGGAGCCCAGAGAACATCTGTGGCCGAGACCAGCCGGGAGCCCCCGGCAGAGCATAGCTTCTGAAGGAGGACTGGCTGCCCCATCGAGTTTCCGGGGAGCCCCTTCCTGGCTGCTTCACTCCCCATCATGCAGCAGGGGCTGGAAAGACAGGCAGAGGCACAGGAGTCAATGACACGCCAGGCCTAAGCTGTTCAGAGAGACCCTCAACCTGCAGGGTGGTCCCTGCCCAAGCCACCAGATCTTTCAGGGAAGCCCCACAGTCCCTGAGCCTGGTGCACCCCCAGCTCCCCACATCCTGTCAGGACCTGTTACAAGCACGCAACTGGTCACCAAACATCTGTCCCGCTAGACTCCCCTGAAGCTGTAAGGGAGGAATCGCTACACACCCCTTCATCCTTGGGGAAGATGAGGCCACCCCTCGCCTCACAGAGCCACAGGAGTCAGGGGAGGGGATTCGGCCTCCCAAAGGGAAGGGCAGGCCCCGGGAGTCCTGAGTCTCGCAGGATGGCCAGCTTGGTGCCAGTGCTGCCATCACCTCCCCAACTCGCCTGCAAGCTACTTGGTTACCCACCGCGCTACTGGACGGGTCGTCTTGGTGACGCCCATGCCTTTTCTGGATGCGCCTTCTCTAGACCTGGTCCTGCCCTGGAATGGGGGACAGGAACCCCTACCTGTCTGTCGGTCAGGATCCCCGGCTCTGGGCGCTTCCAAGATGATGCCAGCAGGATATAGAGCACCAGCAGCCCAAAGGCCACCACCAGCATCCCACTGCTGTTGGCAAAGACGGCCTCACTTGGCAGGCTGGAGTACGGCTTGGTGGCATTCTTCCTGAAGATGACAAAATAAGCTGGGCCCTTGAGAGACCTAGCCACCTGTGTCTGCCCAGTGGGAGACTCAATGCTACTAAGAGACAGCGAGAAGCCTTCCCAAAGCCATCTGAGACTTAGAATTCGAACATACTTTCCTAGTGCCCATGACAGTAACAAGTATTTGTATAATGCTTTTGTTTTAGAGGTGGGGTGTCTCGCTGTGTTGCCCAGGCTGGACTTGAGCTCCTGGGCTCAAGCAATTCTCCAGCCTCACCCTCCCAAGGAGCTGGGACTACAGGTGTGTGCCACCACATCCAGCTGTATAATAGTTTTTATCCATGCATGAGGCAACCAAAGCTCAAAGTGGTGAAATTAACTGGCCCAAAGTTACATAACCAGTAAATGACACAGCCAAGATCTGAACCCAGGTCTGACCCAAGTTTTAGTTGCTTTGCACTACACTACACTCCCCATTGCCTAAGAAAAATGGATAGTAGTGGCCAGGCATGCAGGCCATGGAGTCAGACTGCCTAATCTGAGTTCCCGCTCTGCCATGTATAGGCTGTGTGCCCTTGGGGAAGTAACTGACCCTCTCTGTTCCACTTGAAATTTGCAATGACAGGCTGGGCTCAATGGCTCAGCCTGTAATCCCAGAACTTTGGTAGGCCGAGGCAAGTGGATTGCCTGAGCCCACGGGTTCAAGACCAGCCCGGGCAACTTGGCGAGACCTCATCTCTACAATAAACAAAAAAAAAATTAGCCGAGCGTAGTAGCGCATGCCTGTAGGAAGGCTTAGGTGGAAGGATTGCCAAAGCCCAGCAAGTCAATGCTGGGGTGGCCATAAGTGTGACACTGCACTCCAGTCTGAGTGACGGAGTGAGACTCCAACTCAAAAAAAAAAAAAGCAATGACAGCAGTCCCAATTTTGTAGGGTTGCTGAGCAGATTAAGGTGCTTAGGACAGTTTTTGTTATACAATAGGTGCTAAGTCAACCTGGAGCTTGAGAAATATTTGCTGGCCAATTTATCAGTCTCAACCTAAAGAAACACTGGTTCTAGCTGGGTGCCATGGTTCACGCCTGTAATCTCAACACTTAGGGTTTTTTTTTTTTGAGTTGGAGTCTCACTCTGTCGCCCAGACTGGGGTGCAGTGGCATGCACACAGTCACCCCAGTGTTGACCTGATCCTTCTGCCTCAGCCTTCCAAGTAGCTGGAACTACAGGCTCATGCTACCACGCCCAGCTAATTTTTTATTTATTGTAGAGATGTGGTCCCGCCAAGTTGCCTGGGCGGATCTCGAACCCACCTGCTCAGGCAATCCACGCGCCTCGGCCTCCCAAAGTGCTGGCATTACAGGCTGCGCCACTGAGCCCAGCCAATCCCAGCACTTTAGGAAGCCGAGGTAAGGGTATTGCCTGAGCCCACGGGTTTGAGAACAGCCTGGGCAACTTGGCGAGACCTCACCTCTACAACAAATCAAAAAATTAGCCGGGCATGGTAGCACGTGCCTATAGTTCCAGCACTTGGAAGGCTGAGGCAGAAGAATCGCCTGAGCCCAGCAGGTCGACACTGAGGTGGCTGTGAGTGTGCCACTACACTCCAGCCTGGACGACAGGGTGAGACTCCAACTCAAAAACAAACAAAACAAAACACTGGTTTCATGACCTTCCAGGTCAGGGACAGGACGGTTCCAAGAGCCTTCCTCCTTTGGGTCCCGTGATCATAGGGTACAACTTTGAAGACCCTGCTCCCCACTTTGTCTTAAAGTGGGGACCCACTGCACTCACAGACTGAAGAAGAGCTTCTCATTGATGCCGGAGGTGACGGATGCGATGGACAGAGAGAGGATGGCAGATCCAAAGAACACGTGGGTGGGTTTCAGGAGGCTGCGCAGCCACAGGGACGCCCAGGGCAGGAGGAAGATGGCGAAGCCCAGGAACCACTGTGGGTGTGAGAGGATGTACTGGTCAGCCCATCCCCAGCACCCTCCCGCCACACCCGGGTCCTTCACAGCATGACCCTCTTGGCAGGTCACCCCAACCCAGCTTCCTCTCTGCGTCCTGTCGGTTTCTATTACACCATCCCCAGGAACGCTCAAGGAACTGCTGAGCTGCGACCAACCCTCCCGCGAGGCCAAGCAGCCCCACTGTCTCTGCTTTCTGCCAGTCCTGGCTCCAGGAGCTCCTTACTAGTGCAGGCCTAACAGCAGAACGGAAACTGCTTCTAGAATGCTGTGGCTCATGGAGAGTTGGGAGGGGGCAAGTGGGGACGAGATGGCCCATCAGAGTCGTGTGGGATGTGCCACGGCAAAGGCAAGAGAGAGGGCTCTGGGATGACACGTGGGTAGCGGGGTGGGCAAGGAACAGCCCCTTGAGCTGCCAGCCCTAGGACGGGACACACCTGCATGGCCCTCCCCAAGCAGGGAGCAGAGGGAGTATCCATGGCAGGACCCTAAGGCATGCCAGGCCCAGCCTGAGCTCATGTCCCGGGTCCCAGGTCCCAGGGGAGGAGGGAGGGTGGATGACCCACCTGGCAGGCGAAGAGGAACACGGTGATGATGCCCAGCCAGCTGTGCAGGGAGTAGAGGTTCGCGATTTTTCTGTGGTTGTGAAACTTGAAGACAGCAACCAGCCCCACCACGGTGAGGGCGAAAGCCAGTAGGTGAAGGGCAGCATGGAGGAGCTTCCAGGGCAGCTTGGGCCCCACCCACGCCTGGGGCAGGCGGTACACCAGCGAGGCTGTGGGAGAGAGAGTCCCAGGCCTGGCCTCTCCCTCACTCAGCCCCATCAGGAGATTCCCGCGAGGCTCCCACAGTGCCTCCCCCGAGGGAGAAGCAGAAGCTGGGACACTGCTCTCCACTCCTCTGTTTCTTCTGTCCCCCATCAGGTGCGGGACAGCCGTCAGCCATGAGGAAGGGGAGCAGGGCCAGCTAAAAAGGCAGGCGCGAGCCTCCTGGACCTGCCACTCTGCCAAGACAGTAACAGACACAGCCTGTAGGCCGCTTCCAGGCTAAAAACCACTGTCACAGTCATGGCTCACCCAACAGAGTCCTCACAACCGAGGTCCACAATGCAGGCATTAAAGTCAGACACCCTAGGTCCAAATCCAGCCTCTGCCCCCTAGCTGTTTCTAAGTCTGTTTCCTAACGTGTAGAATGGGACTAGTAAGCGAGCCCACCTCACAAATGTGTCGTCAGAACACAGTGAGTGATGTATGTGACACGCACCCAGTGAGCTGCTATTATCAGTGCCATCATTATGCCCATTTCACAAGTGGGGAAAATGAAGCTCGCTGGGCCCAATGCAGATTTGAAAGCATGGGGCGAAGATGGATCCAGAAGAGTGATCACACCCCTCATTCCAGGACCTGACTTCACCACGAGAGGCTGCAACCTCCCGTTCCCTAGAACTGTGCTGGCAAACCATCACCCACAGGCCAATCTGGCCCACCGCCTGCCATGAGCTACGGTTTATTGCAACACAGCCACGCTCACGTGTTAGGTACAGCTTATGGCTGCCCTCACAGCATGGTGGCAGAGGTGAGTAGCTGGCACACATCGTCTGGCTTGCAACGCCTGAAATTCTTACTCTGGCCTCCTCCCATCAGGGAATTCCCAAGAGGCTCCCACAGTGCCTCTCACGAGGGAGGACCTGCTCCAGAGTGTCTGTGAGGCGGTCCTGCTGAGATGCCCCACTCTTACCACTTTCTCTCCCAAGTGACAGCTGGGCCCAGTGGCAGCCCCATCCATTCTATCCTCGTAGACCCAAACCCAACACCCACACAGGCCAGCCTTGGAGAGGAACTGCACCGTCCCGTCCAGGCCTGGGCCCTGTCCCACCTCCCTCCCTGGCCTCTCACTCACCAGCTCCATACACGACCACCATGCCGGCAACCATGAGCACCGGGTGCCAGTTGAATGTGAGGATGCTGCCGTCCCAGGCAAAGCCACCATGCCAGTACTGCATCCAGTAGGCAGGGAAGAGGAGGCACATCGAGCCCAAGGACCCCAGCACCAGGCAGGACAGGTAAAACCATCCTGATGCCATTCTGACCAAGCACGCCTAGAAGAAGCGGAAGTCACGGTCCCCGCTGGCTCGGGTGTGCCCCGCACCCGGCTAAAGGAGATAGCACTGGCCTCGCTCTTGGCCCATAAGATGGAATCTTCTTGCTTCAGTGGCCCTGCCATCAGTCTGGGTACCACCCCCATGAGACCTCAGTGGCTGGGTGGGGCCCGATCGCCAGTCACAGACCATGAGTGAGGCCTCACCCAGCACCCAGCAATGCACAAGAGCAGAAGCATAGGGCTGCTGCTGGCCCTGGCGGAGACTGCATACCAAGGCTCTAGGTCTGGAGTTTTGGGTTAGTCTTTCACGGGACCAGAAGGCAAAGAATTACCCCTCACCCTCACCCCGGTAAAGAACAGACAGAAGTCAAGATCCAGTTTAGACATGAATGCCCAGGGTATGGGTTCTAACATAGGAGGCGAAAAATCACAACCCCAAGGGGCAAATCCACTGTGAGGATATAGCCAGGAAGGAGTCCCATGGGCTCCTGCATCTACAGAAAAGTTCTTCCCTGAATGGCAAACTTGGTGGGGCAACACACAATCAGGCCTTTGTTCCCAAGCCCCTACCCACCACACCTGGAACTGGGTAGCAGCCCTCAGCCATCTGCAGGCCTGAGGCTTCTGCTTTCTCTCGTCCTGGGGAAAGTCCAGAGAAGAAAAGGGGAAGCAAGAACTCATGGTCTAGAAAGCAGGAGGTGTATTTTGAGATTTCCGCACGTACTCAGTAAACTCAGAAATCAACTCTGGTTTCAGGCACAGCAATGCCTAAGCCCCTGAGCAGTTGCTCTTAAAAGCCAGGCAAGGCTGGGTGTGATGGCTCATGCCTGTAATCCCGGCACTTTGGGAGGCTGAGGAGGGAGGATCACTTGAGCCCAGGAGTTTGAGACCAGCCTGGACAACATAGCGAGACTCTATCTCTACAAAAAATAAGACACTCAGCCAGGTGTGGTGGTGCATGCTCATAGTCTCAGTCATTTGGGAGGTTGAGGCAGAAGGATCGCCTAAGCCCAGGAGGATGAGGCTGTGGTGAGCCATGATCCATACCACCGTACTCAAGCCTGGGTGACAGAGTGAGACTGGCCTCAAAAGAAAAAAATAAAAGCCAGATAAGTGGGCAAAACAGACAGGACCAGCCCTCCTTTCAGCTACTGAACAGGCAGGCTCAAGGGAGTCACCCTATCCGCACAGACTCACACCAAGAAGGCAACAATTTGACTTCTTCCTGCAGCTGCTGGCTCTCACTCCAAACAGCTAACAAAGAGAAGAAATGGCCAGTAGCGCCCAAGGAGATAAAACATGTGACTGCTCACCTTTCAACTTAGCCGTAGGCTGATGAGGGGTGGCCTGGCCTCCTGTTCTTGCAAAACCAGCACCTTAAGCAAATCACTTAGTATTTGCAGGATGCAGTGTTCTCATCTGAAAGAAAGGTATAGCGACAGGGATGCCATTTATTGAACACCAGCTATGAACACCAGAACCGTACACATGATCCCATTTACTCCTCTTAAAAACACATTTTATACACAAGCAAAAGGAGGCCCAGAAAGATTAAGTAACCAGCATGTGGGCCCAGGAGTAGGCATGGAGTTTCAAATTCTTGTCTGTTTGGCTTCAAGGACCATGGCTTTTCCTCGCCACAGGTTGTCAGATCAAGTGAGGGGGCTGGATGCAATGGCTCACACCTGTAACCCCAGCACTTTGGGAGGCTGAGGCGAGAGGACTGCTTGAGCCCCAGGAGTTTGAGACCAGCCTGGGCAACATAGTGAGACCTCATCTCTACAAAAAATACAAAAATTAGCCTGCTTTGTTTGACTCCTGTCATAGCAGTATATCCTAACAAAACCCAGAAGTTCATGGTCCTCTCAGTAGCCCTGGGCCATACCATGCCAGCTTTCCCCATGCCAGGGGCCCACCTAGCCAGGAACAGACACTGGACTTTCACAGGGTGACTCAAGGTGGCAGTCATCTCTAGATAGAAATGGTCAAGGGCTGAGGAAGAAACAAGTTTCCATGAGGCTGGCAGGAGATCATACCACCAGCTTTCTAGAAGCTTTGACAGGCTGAGCTCAGCCTGTAATCCTAGCACTTTGGGAGGCTGAGACAAGAGGATTGCCTGAGCCTGGGGGTTCAAGACCAGTCTGGGCAACTTGGTGAGACCTCATCTCTACAATAAACCACAAGAACTAGCCAGGTGTGATGGTGTGCATCTGCAGTTCCAGCTACTTGGAAAGCTGAGGTGACAGCATCGCCTAAGCCCAGCAGGTCGAGGCTGCGGTGGCTGTGTGTCATTGCACTCCAGCCTGGGCGACGGAGTGAGATTCCAACTCAAAAAAAAAAGTTTCATGACAACTTCTCAGTTCAGAGGTTTGCTGCCAGCCTCACAGCTGCCCCCTCAATTCCTGCAAGAGCAGAGGAAGTTTAAGGTCACCAGACGTTCTGTTAAAACACCCTCCAGCCCCCGTGAAAGTGAGGTCAGCATTAAGGAGCTGGTCAGCAGGCTCCGTCCATCCGACAATATCTATTGCCACGACTTTTTTTTTTCCTTTGTGAATATAGTCCATTCAGGACTGTATCCATACTCCTAGAAGTCCTGGATTACTGTTCTGGGACAGACTCAGAATAGACCACAGGGACACTTGCTGACAGAGGGTTATCAAGTTATACTGCTCTGTTCAGATGGCACAGACAAGCCCTCCTGCATCCTGAAATGGAGAGCAAAGCAGGGAGAAGACAGAATGCAGTGGAAGTTGCAGCGCAAATGCTAATAAACCCTCTGGTTTGTCCTAAGACTTCAGGATGTGCCCATGGCAGTTGAGTCTCCTGTTCTGCCCGCACTCTGTAAAGCTGGGTTTTAAGGCAGGAGTCTGCAAACTCTTCAGTGAAGGGTCAGGCAGTATACACTTTAGGCTTTGTAGGGCACATGGTCTGTCACAACTAAGTCACCAACTCTGCTGAGGTAGTGCAAGAGATCTTAATAAACGAACACGGCTATGTGCCAATAATTTTTTTATGAACACTGAGTTTCACAGAAGTTTCACATGTCATGAAATAGTAATTCCTTGGCAGATTCTCCCAGGCTGATCTAAAACAGGTCAGGCCCAGGGGTAAGAAATGGGCATTTCCCATCAAGCCCTTAGTCTTAGAGAAAGGGTCTATTCAGCTGGGCGTGGTGGCTCACGCCTGTAATTCCAGCACTTTGGGAGGCAGATGCGACAGGACTGCCTGAGTCCAAGGGTTCGAGACCAGCCTGGGCAACTTGGTGAGACCTCATCTCTACAATAAATCAAAAAATAGCCAGGCGTGGTGGTGCACACCTGTAGTTCCAGCTACTTGGAAGGCTGAGGTAGAAGGATCGCCTGAGCCCAGCAGGTTGAGTCTACGGTGGCTGTGGGCGTGCCACTGCACTCTGGCCTGGGTGACAGAGTGAGACTCCAATAAAAAAGAAAAAAGAAAAAGGCTCTATTCCAAACGCTTGCAATGTTACTTTTTAATTTAGAACTACAAATAGATGAAGAGGCAGAAAGTTTGTTGCTCCCCCATCATACACATCTGAGGGACTTTGAGAATCCTCAGAGCCAGGCGTGGAGGCTCAAGCCTGTAATCCCAGCACTTTGGGAGGCCAAGGCCAGAGGATTGCCTGAGCCCAGGGGTTCAGGACCAGCCAGGGCAACTTGGTGAGACCTTGTCTCTACAATATATCAAAAAATTAGCCGGGGGTAGTAGCACACGCCTGTAGTTATGGCTGAGGCAGAAGGATCACCGGAGACCAGCTGGTCGACGCTGGGATGGCCGTGAGCATGCCACTGCACTCCAGTCTGGGTGACAGAGTGAGACGCTGACTCAAAAAAAGAATCCTGAGAACCAGACTTAAGGTGCAAGTCCTAAACCTTTGTATTACAGATCAAAAGCACTCTAACACGGAGGCCCAAAGAAAAAAAGTGACTTGGCCAAGGAGAGCAGCGCGGCAGGTACAGGGAATCAGATGGCTCAGCTCCGAGGATTCCAGAATATTCCAACCAGCACGTAGGTAAACAAAGTCTGCCTTAGCCCCGGCGTGATCACAGACCAGACTTCCGGCCTGTGCCCAGGTCCAGCTCCAGGCACCCGGGGGGCTGATCCCTGAACCCCTCTGCTGGGCGGGTGGCACCAGGTAATATTGGGTGAAAACCGACGCGAGGGGCTCCGCCTGCGGGCTGCGCCCTCCGATGAGCTTTCGCGCCTTTATAACCGCCCTTTAAAGGAAGGACACGGAGAACGGTGCCCATTTCCTAAAAGAGAAAACTGAGGTCCAGCGAGGGGGGTCGCGACAGCGCTAAGCGAGAAAGTAGCAGAGCCGGCATTCGAACCCAAGTCCCTGAACTCCCAGCCCGGGCTCTTTCTCACCCCTAACCACAGTGGGACGCAGCGGGGCCGGGGTCTGCGGGGCCCGCCTCTCGCCACCCGGCGCCGGAACTGCGGCTCGCGTGGC